GGGACGTTGATATTGACCGCATCACATATCCTCCGAGGAATTTCTGGCTAGGCCCCGGCTTGTCTTTCATGAAGGAAGGCCACAGACATGGCCGAGGGGCCCCTGTTCCGGACATGTGTAACTAGCACATTCATCAGTCTTTGATGAGGGTAAGAACAATATTAAGCCGGGGTCTTAAAGCGTAAAAAAACATTTCGAAGTATGTGTTGGATTTCGCCCGATGAGGATGGCTCCGGGAACAAAGGATACGGGGATTGTCCAATCGCTACAATCACATTCCGGTTAGTATTGTTCTTCAAGAACAATATCATCCCGGGCTTGGCATCAGACAATTTTCAGATCGGAGGTTTAATTGCACAGTGTCGAGTATCGGTGTCATTCTCCCTCGGGGACATGAAAGAGAGAAGTTCTCCCCGAATACCATCGCTACCAAAACAAAGAAGTTAGACTTCGCTTAGATACAACAGTACATCAATTTAGCTAATATGAATGCTGGAATTAAAAAAAAAATAAACGAGATGATCAATGATAACAGTCCTAACTTGGAAAATGCAATCTCCCCCTTAGGTGTAGATTGGCTCGGTCAAGTCATTCAGGGTCAAGCCTTCCTTGGCGATATCTTCCTCAATCAAGAACATCAAAGGCATCTCAACCAGAGTACCCTTAATTTGGCTAAGCAGCTCTTTAACCTGTTTCGCCCCTTCTGCGCCAGGCGCAAAGTCATCGCTCACAACGTGACCCCATTGGAATCGCGCCGGACGTGCCGATCCTTCCATGCCTTCACCAGCCCTCTTCTCGGTCTTATGGAAATAATACTCATAGAATTCCTTGTACTCGGCCCAGTTGCGGACTGAGTCGTCCGGAACGGCGTGGAAAACCTTCCGGAAGACCTCGCTGTTTGTGTGCGCCCGTGAGTTCCAAAGACTCTGGGCAGTGTCGGAAAGCGGGTCAGCAACGACCTTGCTTTCGGGGCAGTCAAAGTCGAATTGGTTGGGAACCCCCACGGGCTCGAAGTTCGCATCTGGTCGTTGATAGTCTTGCGGTGGCAAAAGACCCAGGTGCTTCCGGAACAGCTGGCGGCGGAGAGATGAAGCAAAGCGACTGGCAGTCCATGGCTTGCCATTCATGTTGGATGCCACAGGTGTGAAGTCCTCGATAATGACTGCGATCTCAGAGTCATGGTCACCCAGTTGAGAACGGTCGTTCAGGTTTGCAGATCCGCAAACAACTACACGATCGTCGGCAATCATCACCTAATACTTTTGTTAGAGGGCTGGGTCATCAGTGACTTTTGGGGAGGACGAACCTTGGAGTGAACATAAAGCTCTTCGCTCACAAACGCATTAATCTCAGCATCGGGGTGTCCATCCCATGGCACTTTGCGAATATCCTCTCCGCCGAGCATGTAACACTCGCTGACACTGTCCCACCGGTTCGAAGAAGCATGACCGCCTTGTACCTGGTGTGCAGCCTGCTGGTACTTCTGGAACGGTGCAGACGTATCAAAAGCACTACGAGTAGTGCTTGGAGCGTATCCACCAGGGCCTGCAGTGTTCAAATCGTACTGTCTGCTGGCATCCTCGTAGTTGACACCACCCTGCTGTTCAGCTGCAGCCATCATGCTACCGTTGTTAATCCGATCATAATTGCGAAGGTTGTAGAAACGGATGTACTCCATAGGATTAAAGCCTTCTTTGGCAATCATCTCCATGATACTGTGACCTCCCCGGTTGATAGAGTTGTACTGGAACTCCATAATGGCGCGTGTTCCGAGAGTCTCATCATCTCGCAAATCACCGGCAAAGCAGGGAACGGATGGAATGACCACGATAATCTTATATTTCTGGCCAGCACGGGCAGCACGTAAAATCCTCTCCACAATTGCGGCACCAATCTGGTTTTTCACTGGATGCTGCGAATCACCGGTCGCAGTGATAAAGAACTGATTTTCGATGTAGACAAAGTGCTCACTGTTTCGGATAATGGCGCAATATGCGTCGGCAATCGAATGTTCAAGCGGGCTGCCGTTGCTCCATTTCGCACAGCTGCGTACAATCTGGCATGACATATTCCCTCGGCCTTGCGAGGAGGAAGGGCGGCCATATGTGGTCAGTCGATCCTGGTATTGGTGAATTTGTCCCGCGAGCTGACCACGAAGGGTGCTGCCATATTGCGTCAGGTCCTCTCGGAAGCGACGGGGCGCCAAAGAACCTCGCTCGCGATCACCCTCATACTGGTAGTCATCAACCCCACGGGTATTCGAGTGGGATGTTTCCTGGCCTGGTGGGGGTGGGAAGTAAGGTTTCTGCTCCTGTTGCTGGGCCGGTTGATAAGGTTGATACGAGGTGTTGGCAGTGGACTGCGCTGGAGGGGGTCCAGGTGGAGGAGGAGGGAATGAGCTTCCAGTGTAGCTATACTGGCTTGTGTCATGGCTTGGGGACTGAGCTGACTGAGATTGAGAGCCTAGAGGGCTTTGGCTTGGCGGTGGGGGATAGGTTGAAGCAGTCCCAGGTTGGTACGAGGTAGACGTGTTCTGCTGTTGATATTGTTGCTGGTTTGAGGAGGTCTGAACCGGCGGTGGCGGATAACTTGAAGCGGGAGCACTGTTGTAAGGCTGATATGCTTCGGCAGATTGTTGATGCTGAGGCTGGGACTGCGACTGTGGCTGTGGCTGCAATGGACTCGATGCCTGACCTGGTGGCGGCGGGTAGGTAGCCGATGTGGATCCACTAGGCTTCTGCTGCCAGGATGGCGCAGGTGGCTGACCCTGCGGGCTTGCCTGTCCCGATGGGTACAGATTGGGCTGTGTAGAACCAGCCTGCTGTTGGCCAGTCGAGGGGCCAGTTGAGGAAGCGGGCCGTCCATGGAGTGCCAGTCTCGCGTATCTAGAATCACTGCGAACCTTGTATTTCAAATCATAGATGAAGTTCCATCGCTCCACAAAGTGACGCCGCAAATCTTCCACGGCTGCACCGTGCAGGCTTATGGATATATCAGACCATCCCATCCGAGACATGGTCTTTCTATCCAGCTGGTTATTCTCCCAGTGAACAACATCTTGGAAATCAAGGACGCGAGAATTGTTGTAATCCTGGCCAGGAAACACGGTTTGGCTCACATCCGAGGGATGTAGATCCGATAGCTCGTGTTGGTTTGTGTCCCAGCGACCGAAGCACATGTCCAAACCACCCATGAATGCAACCCGACCGTCGATCAAACAAAGCTTCTCGTGATGAGCCCAATACAGAATGACATCATCATTCATTCCGTATAGGCCCTTCAGTGTGTCCTTTGGCATCTTACTCAAACTTGCCGAGTCAAGTGACATATTCTGGAAGGTCGACGCGATGGAAGCTGCGAGCTCTTGGCGATCAGGCAGGTGGTCCGGGTGACGGAAGACAGCGATATTGGGGTGCAAATTTTCTAGGGCATGTTTGGTGTGAGAGGAAGACACTGTAGGTAGGGACTGTTAGTTGAGTTCCTTTCAATGTTCAAGGATCATAGACATACGAGTGAGCGCCTGCGTAACCTCCTTATAAACGATGATATTGACGCGCACGCCCCGCTGGGCTGCAGCTTGCAGCATGCGATCCAATCGGTATTGTTCATTCTTCGCCGGTGGCCTTCTCAAATAAAGTTCGGGAGATAACCACCCTACATCAAGTTAGCCGCATGAAATGAAAATCCGGGGAAGATTGAAACTCACAGTCCAGAATCCAAATCGACTCGCGAGCATTTTCCAGAGCTCGCGATACAGCCCAGAAATAGCTGCATCCATCCACATACCACTTTGCATCGTTATGTTCCCGGGGAGGAGCGAAGCTACCAAATCGATGCTCTGTGTTGGGCTTGCTGGGACCGTACTCGGCATACGCCTGTGGATCGATGGTGGTACCGATCTTCTGGGCAAATTCGGAACCAAACTCGGTCACAGTACCTTGTAGTTTTCCCAATAAACCGGACAGTTTGTCGTCCTTTTGAGGCTTTCCATGATAGTTCGGGTTTTGCTGTTGCCCGCTTGTGTTTTGGCTGTATTGGGGTTCTGTCTGGGTCGGGTAACTCTGCTGTAGCGGACCGGTTAGTGAATGTGGAGGCTGAGGGATGGTAAATCCTACGCCTTGATAACCACTTGGGTTATATGTCTGGTTCGGCTGACCCTGTGAGGAACCGTGGCTCTTGTAGGTATCGCGGAGCTTCTTGAAGGTATCACCTAGACCGCGGGATCCGTCTCCGGACCCACGTTCCGCGCCCTGGTAGTAGCCACCATAGGCCAGATCATCCTGCTTCGACATTCTGAGAGATCAGAGTAGTTTGTAGATAAAACACAGCAAGAACGTTGAATAAAACGAAAGAAAGTCAGAAAAAAAAGGTCAGAAAATAGGAAATAGGGATGCCTGCAGAGCGGGGTGTGACTGTTTTAAATCCGATGAAGCGCCCCGCTACGCCCAGCCACGATGGGAACGTGGTGAATGTGGCGGTGTACTTGTACTTGTACTCCATAAGCTGACACGATTATCTTCCCAACTTGGGATATTCCTGGGATATTCTTAGGTTTAGGCAATAGAATAAGTGAGACTGTGGGACTGTAGTATGTGACACTGGCCTGAGGATAACTGAGATATATATATCAACACGTATTTCTAATTCATGTTACATTTGATAGTAAAAGAGATACAAAAAAAGGAAAAAAAAGGAAAGAGACTAGGGAACTATGTATATACAACATATAAAATCATCAAGAATCTCTTCGACATAAGTAAAATAAGAATGAAGTTCAGGTCAAATTAGTTTGCTCTCGGAAATGCGGAATGCGGGCTTGGCGTTCCGACATGTGGAAACCAGAGATCTCGACTGCTGAACCTCTACAACCTCTACAACTGTATATCCTCCAATTGGAGCGCAATGCCCACGGCTCAAGTAAAAAAAAGCTCTCTTGGGCGACCCCGAAAACCAGCCGAAGATGCCAAATCTGTGAGACCCCCCTTTTTGCAACTAAAGATATGATAACTCAATCTCACACCCTGGCCCAGACGCGACGCGCCCAGGTCCGTGAAGCGCAACAGGCATACCGATCTCGTCAACAGTCCCAGCTTTCTTTACTGAAAGCTCGCGTAGAGCAACTGGAAGATGCATTTGGTCATTTGAGTCAGACCATGCACACATTCGATAACCAGGTGATCCAGAATGGGTCGCAGTTGACTCAGCCTGAACTTTTCCAGACGGTCCAGTTGCTGCGGGATGATATAGTGTCTCATTTCAAGCGGGCTGATATTCGCTTTCAAGAGTCCCAAAATAACCAACCTTCTGTCGTTGAGAAACCCCACGCGCAGGTCGCGTCCGAGGTGCCAACGGGCAGATTGAAAGATCACACCTTGGAGTCCGGCTTCTGGAAATTGTTTTTGGGCTCGTCGGCTGGCATGATTCCATCGACTAATACCCAGGCCCTGAACCATCAATCGAATGACTTTATTCCCTTTCCTGTGACACCATCTATTGCTGAAACACACGTCATACAATATGCAACCACACCCTTCACCCAACGGCTTTATCACGCTTGCGCTCAAAGTGGATATCGGATTCTGTCAAATCTCTCTTATAAAGATGAAGACATGTGGGAGTTCGGATTACTGCTACAAACAATGCCACGAGCAGAGATCCGAGATTATTTCGCACGTATCGTCAACACGGAACCTTGCCATCCTATCATCGATGCTCGATTCCCATATATCAGCCTCGGTGGTGCAGGAACTCACTTTCTACAACCTTCCAGTGACGAATTTTCAGATAGCTTTGCCCTCTTCCAAACAACAAATGGCGTGACTTATGTTCCTGCAGACGAAGACTGGTTTGATGTGCATGATGTCGAAAGATACCTGTTCAACCAAGGCATTGTCGTAGGCGAGTTTCCTTCATCTACCCTTACGATACCTTATCCCTCTAGTCCAGTCGCTGGTCATTCGAGCTTAGAGGCCTCCCAAGGCGAATTACCCGCCAATATGATGATGGTTATCGACGAGTATAAATTGATCAACAGTACGTTACACTATCTTTTGCTACTATTCTCGATGCGAAATATAATGATGAGAGCTAACCTAGCCAGGACTGAGCCATCTCCCAGTCTCTCTGGGCTGTGTAGCTGGCTTTCGCCGGTCTGATGTCGAGAGGGTAATATCCTACAATATCAGGTGCATCTCAGTTGGAGCTACTGGCTCTACAGGATAGCTTTATGTGGATTTTACTATGTCCTTCAACCTGCGGAACATCACAATATCCTATTCTACTTTATACACACACACAAAAGCCCGATGAATCGGACACAATGTCGTTCAGAACTATCTACCTCGCCCTGTTTTGACCAAGTCTTAGGAGTTTGCTGTGACCTCTCTTCGTTGATCATACCGTCCTTCAACGCCACAATTGTGGCACCAAGTACTCTCCATTGAATTAAAGACCCGGACCATGACGGCGGAAAGCTGTCCGACTCATAACCTCCTCCCGCCAATACCACACAGCTGCCACAGTCGCACCTGGTCCGATTGCCACAGAACCCAGAATCAAACTAGCTAGTGCCACCTGCCAGGAGACATTGGAAACCCCAAGGCGGTACAGATCCCACACGCTAGCTAAGCACCACAGGAGAGTTGCCGCTGCAACAAGCAGGAAGTCGTTCTGGAAAAATATGAAAACACCGTCTGCAATTGTTGCCACCTGTGCGAAGGCGGCCGATGGGATGAATGCCCTAGTGACAAAGTTTGTCCCCAAAGCAGCCCAGCTCAGCAGCAAGGCCACATGGAAACAAGCAGAAACACCGCCGACCACAGCGTAGAGGGTTTGCAAGTGTGGGATGTCGCGGTTAGATTTGCTCTCCACTGCGGCACTATCGGTCTTAGCCGGTGTGCTCGAACCGATCGATTTGATGACATGGGAGAATATCTGAGTCAAGATAACCACATATACCGGAGCGGGCTGCCACAGCGCAATGAATATTTGTCGCGTGTTCAGAGCATCACCCAATGGGAAGAACAGCATGATTGTGGGCACCGCGAATCCCAATATCATTGCAGGTAGTAACGCTTGGGCGGTGGACTCTGGAAGCGTGCGGGTCCTTGGGGAAAAGTATAACACCCCAGAGGAAATATAGGTACTCGATGCGTAATAGAGGGGTGCAATCAGCCCAATTCCGCGCATCTGATACAGAACCGCCCACAAACTTGGAGTTGCAAGAAGGGTCCATTTGTTCCTTGGTCTCAACCCTTCAACCGTCCAGATAGCGATAATCGGCATCATTGAAGCCAGGAAATACAGAACTTGCAATGGCTGTTCCGGCGTAGAGAAGTTGGCAACCGCAGGCAGGAATATCGTTACGATGACTTTCAAAATGAGGTCAACAGCTCCGATCCCTGTGTACACCTGGCGAAGGGGAGCTTCAACTCCTCCTGGGAGTGGAACCGAGTGACTCTTGATTGCCTGACGGACCAAGCCCATTGTTCCATTCGCTCTGAGTGCTGTCGATAATTGGCGATATCCTAACCAAGCTAAGAGGAAGTATGTAGCGTACAACAAGATGCTCACCACACCCCGCGATGACGGTGTTCTGAAGCGCTCGTCGAAATATGCAACTTCCCGAGGTTTGTGTGGTAGCGGAAGCACGTCCAAGGACACTCCGGGAGAATACGAGTCGATCCATCTGCCGAGGACAACGGATTTCGGAAGACGCGGCACCACGTACCGTCCTATGAACTTCAACAAGGGCGTTTCCTGGCACTCGAGACGTTGCCGGGCATGGGATGCTTTGACCAATTCCCATGCACGTTTTTCACGCTGCTGCTGAACGCTCTCAAAGACTTTGGAAATGTCTGCCGACGACAGGGTGCCTGTGTGACAGTTTTTGAGGGCCGCAACGAGATGATTTGTCAGGGATGCGGCGGTTTCCATTGCATTATTGCCTCCCTGGCCTGTCAAAGGCTCAAACTATTGGACGGAACGTTGGTCAGTGTTCGCATGATCTTGTTCTCGGGTTGACAGGTGGTCTCACCTTGTGACAGGCATCGCCAATGGTAATAATTCTCTGGAAATGCCACCTTTTAAAGACGTATTCTGCCAAGCTGGAGTATGCCGAGGCAATTTTACTCTTGTACAGAGCGGAAAATTTCAGTGTAGGAGTGATGTGGTCGTCGAAGTGTTCTGTTGCCAATGCTTCCTCCTCCTCCTTGGTGAACCGAGGAATATCTGCACCATAGTACGTCTTTCCCATATTCCGCACGAGAAACCAGTAGGTGAGGTCTCCGGGTCCGCTGGGAACAAGATACGAGTAATGCTCATTGTATACCGAGCTCAACGTGCCTTTCTCGATTCCCTTGACCCCTTTGGAAATGCCGAAGATGCATGCGTAAGTTGCAGGCAGTGCTTCCACAAGAGTTAGCTAATGATTTTTCAAGTCTTTAGGTCTAATTTTCGTACCAGATTTCTCCGTGGGATCAATCCACGTGGGATCTATCTTTTCGGCCGCTTTCCACATTTCTTGACGCACTTTGGAATGGATTCCATCTGCTCCGACCACGATATTTCCGGTGTAGGTTTCACCCGTTGTTGTGGTAACTGTGACACTCGAAGTACCATTCTCAATACTCTGCACTCGCTGAGAGGTGATCACTTTGGACTTATCCTGGATCTTTTCATAGAGGACTTCTACCAACATCCGGCGATCGAGGAATAAGACAGGATAACCATGACTGGATATATTGTCAGTTGATTCTGCTGTTTCAATATTGGTTATACAAAACTGAATGGCGACGAACCTCGTGATTGACCCCCCTTTGACGTTATCGATTGTCCAGAATGGATGTCCTTGCGAATCACAGAAGTGAAGTGTGTCAACAGGGTATTCCGCCATCTTTAGAACTGACTCATAACAACCCAGCTGGTCGAGAATGCGTAAGCCATTGGGCAAGGCGCCAAAACTAGCCCCGACCTGGGGTGCAATGCTGCCGTATGCTTCGAGGATAACGAAATCGATGCCATTTCTTTCCAGCATCAAGGCTAGCGAAAGTCCAGCAATGCTGCCTCCCACAATGACAACTTTGAATGAAGTTTGGTCCATGATCTTGTTGTTAGTCTGGATTGACTGACCATAAGAGATTTAAAAAAAAATGAAAGACGCATCGATTGTATGCTGGACCGTAATAACTATATATGTCTATGTGGACCTACTTCTTGCTATATGCCTGCACGACTGAAATACTATGAACTAACCAATAAGAGATAGTTGAGCCCTCTCCAACACCTACTGAACTACCCAAATCGGAGGGAAATCTCACCGTGATCATTGATCAACCTGGGAGCCGGATGAATTCACTGAAATGATCAATAATCAGGACCAATAGGCGTTGTAGGAATCAATTCGGACGTTGATCCACTAGTTATCCACTTTTTGAAATATACGAAGATTATATTGCACACAGATATTAACGATCTATCTACAATATACGGATATTTCATAATAATATAGTCAGAAAGAACAGACTATGCAAGGTTAAACACTGAGCGGCCTAAGAAACTAGTCCCCTGGTGGTTTAACTTGTTTAATAGAGGACATTTTCAGTTTTCAAATTGTTTTAAACATGAAAGAAGGATATCCTACTGTTCTATTCACTATCTCAATCCGAAAAAGTGAAAGAAAATTGCTGTATGTCTTCATTCCCAGGTAATTTCCATTGGTCCCCTCACTAGATGATGTTCATAGAAAGGACAGCTTTCCAAGAAACTCTCAGTTGCCCAACAGTACTTTCTCGGAGGAGCTTTCAGTATTCCACGCTCAATAGCCTGATGCAGGTAAATAGGCTTCTTCAACATCCATACCTGACGACACTTGTAGCTGTATGTGGGGTTCTTGTTGCTGGTGTTGGATTCAGCCTCATTGTATGATATGCACACCACATACTCAATATACTGTAATGGAGAGGTCGTGTAGAACCAAATGCGACGAACGCTGGCTGGGAGGCGATAGATACGAGATACAGTGGTTTTCCTACCGCGTCCAATATCTAGTGCATCTTCGGGTAAGATGCTCATGAAAATATCCGTGGTTGATTTTCTTTCCATGACGAGAACAGTTAATGAGATCGGTAGTTAGTGGTTGGTTGATGCTATAATGGGAACAGTCCTCTTTTATATAAGGGGTCATTGCCATTCAGATTTTCTTCTTTCATGTGCTCTTTGTTCGGCACCAACTAATATAAAGGCTTTGTGTGTCCACTAAATATCAATTAAATCAAGCACATTTGCAAGGAGGCCTTTGACACTAAAAACTTGACATACGGTTGTAGTTACAAGTCGTATGTTGGTTATAGTAATATAGTAATATCATCGCGATACCATTGCCACCTATTGGCCAGTTGCCTCAGATCGACATGTTTTGAACTACCATGATCACAACTTCAACAAAGCCTCGTTGTAAATTTCTATATTATCATCTCACAAGCTAAACTTGAACTGAGGGCTCTTCTCCTCCATCTCACGAAGCTGATCTTCAGTATAATTATCCTCAATTTCAGATGCAGTCATCAGAGCTTTCTTTTTGTTTGCACTCCACAGACAGAATTCCAAGGACAAACAAGCTATGATTCCAGCAGCAGCGAACGCAAGTGAAGTGCCATAGCCAGTGGGATATCTCGGCCTCTCATCAGCTTTGTAAATGTAGCTTCCAATAATTCCACCCACATTACCCACGCAAATTAGATACCCAATGGCCACGGCACGCTTGTGAGGATTTGGAATGTTGCAGACATTCCAAGCGTTGACACCGGGCAGAATGGGGTACATTCCGAAACAAGCGAGACAGATACCGAAGTAGCACAATGCTATGTTATTCTCGATGTCGGCAGCCTTGGAAAATAATATTCCGAATGCGACTATAAGTGAGCACTGCGGTACCACGATGAAGGGCATTCTCCATGAGAACCGATCGGCGACCACGGAAAAGCCGTAAGCGGATGCAGCGCCCACGGCATATGGGGGTATGGTCAGGAGCTGGGCGTTGGCTGATTCGTAGCCCATGGATTTGATGATCTCCGGCATGCTGAATTTGAGGGCGTAGTTGGGAACAGAATTGGACCAGCTAGCAAATATGAGAAGATAAATCTTCCAATCGAAAAAAACGCTGAAGATTATTTGCTTATCGAAGCCTTTGTGGTGACCGCTGTGATTGTTGGAGGCTATTTGGCGCACTTCAAGGTATCGGATTTCGTCTGGAGTGAGCCAGCCTGGAGACAATGATGGAGAGTCAAGAAGGAGGAAATAACAAGCGGCCGCCATGGCAACGGTTGCAAGACCCTCTATTATAAAAATCTGGCATGGATGTTAGAAGCTAGGAACCAAGCGGATGAGATAAGAAGGAACAAACCCAACGCCAGCCCTCATATCCAGCAATACCATTCATTTTAGCGAGGCCAAATGCCAGCAAACCAGAGAAAGCACCACCAGAAGCGGCAGATGTGTACAGAATAGCGATGCGGGTCTGTGTCTCGTTTGGGAGGTACCATTTTGAAATCACAAGTACGGCACCTGGAAGAAAGCCAGCTCTAGAAAATTGTCAGTATCAGGGAAACACCTCTAATCGGATTAAAGGGGGCATTACTCAAAAAGCCCTAGCAGGAAACGGATCACCACTAGACCGGCAAAGTTGTGAACAAACCCCGTGCAAAGCATGATCACACCCCAGCAAAAGACCAAGAATCCCAAATATTGCGACGGTCTCTTGAATCGGTTCAAGATTACATTACTCGGCACCTCTTCAACTATGTCAGTGGATATCCATAGGTTTTGCATAGGACTTGCGTACCGGCAAGGACATAAGGTACGAAAAATATGGACAAGGCAATGTTGTATTGCACACCGTCCATGTGTAGGCTTGGAAGCAGGCCCTCGATCTTGGCATTTCCTACTGAGAGTGAGAAGATGCACCACATACGGTCTGTCAGTTGACATACCAATGTTTGTCTTATCGATATATGCCACCAAGTACAACAGAGCAAGCATAGGAACAAGCCTCATCTGGAATTGAGACTCAGTCATCGTTTTCGGGGTCAATGAAGCGAGATCAGATGAACACATACGTCAACCTATCGCACTTTGTCAGTAACTTCTTTGTATCAATTATAATGGCACCCACCTTCCTAAGGACTTTCTTTTTGGCTTCACCCGAAAAGTTTGACAAGAATTCCGCATCATCGGCAGAGATTCCCTGGCCTGTTTGGCGCTCCAGGTGCATCACTGCGACATCTTTGTCCGTCATGATGGAATTAGTTGGTATCTGAGATAAAAGTAGGATTGACGGCGTGATTTGAGATCATCTTATAGAGTACATAATGAGACCCTTGGCAACCCCACGGGGTAGATATAGAAAAAGTACTTCAAGAGCAAAGCAGGCTGGAGGGCGTTAGCAGTCTTGGCAACCCCGGACTACCCCGGACTCTTGCAGTCCGAAGTCTCCTTTTCTCCTTTTCCGTGAAGTCCGACGTGTTGAGTTTTGGAAAAGTGGAGCATCGCCTCACGGAACTGCGGGGAAATATATAGGAGAAACCGAATTTGGATCAGGGAATGGGAATATGGCCTTCGGACATTGTTAAGGTTAGCTATTACCACGTGGGCACTATCAAATGCTACACGTACCGATGAATCAAGTGTCTGCCAGTCACTGAACAGAAAACTATCCAATATATTCGGCATGATCTCTTCCTGAACGCTCGCAGACCCGAACATATCCGAATCCTGCAAGAATGGAAAGCTAGTATCAGTGTTGGCGTTGTTTTCGCCATTGGGACGACCGCCTTGGTGTGGATGTGGCAGATTCCCCATTCGACATCTCTGGGCCTCAGATCTCAGTTCGTCCAGTATGATGCTGTATCGTTTGTTTTGCGATAGACCGGTAGATGCTCGCTTGAGATGGCCATGGCATTTCTCCGCGAGATCAAACATCTTACCTACGGAGTGATTATCAATCTCGTTCGTGGGTCTTGTGGTTCGCTGAATTTCCCAAACATAGACCACTGCCAGTGCACAGAAGATGACATAATGTGTCCACCAGAAAGAATGAAGAAGCGTATTATCTCCAGCCATTCTGTTGACGAGCTCTAAACTAGCCTTGGTGGCAGAGATGCATTCGATGACATTCTCAGACCCTCCCTCAGTCAAGAGGAAGGGCCGATTGGTGTGAATGAGAGCATGGGAATACGCTAGTTGCAAGGCGATAGCCTGACGCCGGAAACTGGGGACCAATGTTGATGGTTTCACAGTACCTAAGTGTGGTGGCAGGCTCGCATGCCATTCATGTAATTCGCGGCTAGATTGATGGGCAGCTGCCAAGCGATCTTGGTTGGAGAGGTCGCTGACTGAGTATACCTCCCGTGACACCTTTCCAATTATTCGTGCAATTCTACAAATCTGTTAGTAGGGTGGTATTGTCATAGTGGGCAGGTGATATGTACTTCGCATGAAATATGAGAGCATAAATATAACAATCAGCTGAGTCCTCTGAGATGGAAGGTCCCTGTGGCGTCATGTCCTCATCGTTGATGTTATCTGGAAAGTTCTGATCAATATCCCCATCTTGATAAAGTCGAGGCCGGCCAAATACAACACTAAGATATTTGTCGATGATGTACGCCACCCAGAAGGTGCGCTTATAGCACTCTGAAGTAATGTAATTTTGTCGTTTGCTCGTGAAAGGAAAGTCTCGCTTTTGATCGCGTCTCCTGTGCATACCCAAGGAGAGAGTGATATGGAATGCATTCCCGAATGTGTACCAGCCTTTATTCATACGAGCTGTTTGAAGAAGATAGAGGACTTGGATGAGACGTGCCTGCGCTGACTCGAGGCGAGGGAACCCCATCTCCGTTTCGGTTAATCTCATACCAGCACAGAACAAGTCGTCGCTGCGTTGTAGAACGAGTGACTCCTCTTCCGTGGACATCTCCCCATGAACTTTCGCAAGGCGCAGGGTCGCGATGGCCATGATGGTAAGAAGGATCGCAGTCCTGGAATTGCCAATGGACTGAGCAATCGGCTTTCCTAACTGTCGATCTTTCAGGAACATTTCCATCCAGCCTTCAACCGTTTGTCGGTGGAAAATACGGTAGGTCACAACACACGTTTCAAAATAGAACTCCTGTAGGTTTCTCGCGGTCCCGGCATCTGGAATGAAGCCATCCGATGCGCTATCGTCGACGTGAAACGGGCGGTCTCCGGCCGAAGTGAGAAGTTGATTTCGCTCCATGTCGTTCTGGTCATATGATGCAGACTCATCCTTTTGGATCAACAACTTTTTCCACGCTCGGTGTAGAAAGTTCAATCCCGAGGTAGGGTCAACATATTGACCCTCGATTTCGATTTCAGGCGAGGGGCGAGAAAGCACTTGTGAAGCCGAAACATCATTAACGACAGGTGATGGTTGCTGCCAGATAGAAAGGTCGTTTAAATTATCACTCCGCGGTCTCTGTTGGCGTTCATTGACTTCATTGATTGTGGTTGAATGTGGGGGAGTTGGAGGCCGCCCTCTGCCATATTTTGCGTCATAAGCGCAATGGAGCCTTCTCTTAGCGCAATTGCTGCATGGAAGTATGCCGTCGCACCGTATCTTCTTTCTCTTACAGGTGTCACAAGCCCTACTAATCTTCGGATCTTTCCGACGGTTCTCCTCGTCCCCGTCTACATTGGACGTAGACAAAGGACGCTTGCCTAAAAGAGCTCTGAAAGACTCAGACGACGAGGGTGACTTCTGTGGAGGAGTTTCAGAGACCATGACTGCTTGCACGGGCGTAATATGCAGGGTGAACGGAAATGTCGGGTGCAGATACAAGGAAGGCGGATGCGGGGATACGAATACGAGACTGTGGGGAGGATAGCCGAGAATCCGAGAATCCGAGACCACGTACTGTCCACAACTCAACCTTTCATGTCCAGGTTTCATAGGTATCTAGAATATACTCGGTTTTTACAGCGTGACCTCCGTTAATTACTGTCAGTTTATTCATCTTTAATCACATAATACGATCGGACTTTCACTTCTACTAATGCCTAATCTATGCAAACATATCTTTAACAAGGAGCTGTGATTTGTCTCTATATAAACCCACATCAAAATATCCCAGGCGCAAAATTAGATCTAAAATCTTGTTACAAAGTCACCTTACTGAGTGATGCGGCATTGATAGCAGCATGAATCTCCTGCTCTGCACCAGCCTCAAGAGGCAAAAGAGGTGGTCGAACGGTAGCGTGAGTCAGAATTCCCCGAGCAACAAGAGCATGCTTCAGTGCTACGGTACCCTCCATGTGAGATCCACGGTGATAAACGCTCTTAGTAACAGGCAGCAGCTGGTCATGGATTTCTCGCGCCTTCTTGTAGTCCTTGGCCTTGCCAGCCTTGATGAGTTCGATGAGAGGCTCGGGGGCAATGTTCCCGTATCCAACCAAAAATCCGTCAATATCAAACGAAGTGTGCAGAAGGTACTCATCGTGGCAAGAGAGGATTTGCAGGTCAGGTCGCTGAGCACGAATGACAGGAATTTCTGTGTCCCAACGGCGCATGTTGCGCACGCCGTTCTTCATGGCGAAACAGCCGGGCTGAGCAGCGATATCCAGCATCGTCTGCAGGTTGTAGGTGGCTTTTGTATTGTCGGGATATTGAAAGAGGATTAAGGGAAGGCCGGACACTTCATACACGCGGCGGTACCGGTCTTGAGGAGCACCTGGCTGGTATCCGAACCGCAGCCAGCCGTGGGAAGGGTAGAGCAAGCCAGCAGCTGCGCCGGCTTCTTTGGCTCGCTTGGCCTCCAGAGCGGCCACTTCGGTGCCTTCGCCGGTGATGCCGGCGATGATGGGCACTTTGTTTCCAACGGACTTGACGAAAGCCTTGATGACTGAAACTTGTTCGTCGACGGTGAGGAAGGTGCCTTCGCCAGCGTGGCCGAGAACCACAAGGCCTTTCACTCCATCGATGCTACCGAGCCAGGAGCCAAGACGTTGAATGGCTTCATAGTCCACTGCGCCATCTTCGGTGAAGGGGGTGACCGGGGCTGGGGTCAGACCACGCATATCAAAGCCGACCATTTTGATGATTAAAGCGAAGATCAAGTGAATATCGAGAAAGATGTTTTGTTGTGATGTAGACTTTCATTTTCGCGATGATGGTCTCTTTTATCTCTTTCTGGAGCTGTTGGTGTTTACTTGACCTTGCTGGAGGGTTGAGGATAGTCCGTTCGGATTCCCGGATTCCCGGAAACGCGGGGCTTGAAATATCACCGGGTTCTGTAGACCATTGACCCTCCAAAATTCCATCCGGACACGTCCGGACTCCTTGCCCTCTCTATCCGCTCGACTAGACTTTCTTTGCCCTGAATGGTTGATTCTAAGAGTTCCTAAGAGCTTCATTGCGTACCTAGGTAGGGTCCTAGAAAGTGGAAATGCCGGGGCATGTCTGTATGTGGCTTAGCTCGGAAATCTCGCCAGGCGGAGGATGTCCAGATGTCCAACTCGGATTACTTTCGATAGCAACGCCCGTCGACAAATCAACAAACGCCAGTTGCCTACTACCAAAAACCTCACCGACAGATCTACAATCCGGACCTCATGGAGAGAAAACCCTCATCTCCGATGGCGCCCACTTTCATGGTGTCTGCACCAGGAAAAGTCATTGCCTTCGGTGAACATGCCGCAGTGTATGGTAAGCCTGCTATTGTCGCAGCTATCTACTCTCGGACGGTGGATTCACGCTCATGCTGAAAAATGGATTACCCTAAAGAGCGCAATCTTCACTGTGGCACGAGTAAGTTACCCCGTGCTGGTGTTGTACAGCGCTGGTTCGCCGTCGTCAGATTCGGTAAAGAGGATTTGCCTAGGGTCGGTCCCCCGGGGCCATGCTACCGGTCAAGTACGAAAAGGGTTGAAGGCCGCGCAGCACGTGGCCAGAAAACCTTGTGATTCCCTAATTTGCAATGGTTACCTTTCACTAGTTGCCCGACTAGGCACGATTTCTCAAACTACTATATCACCACTTTACATACAGAACTTCACTACTTGCTGAAGCACGCAGGCCGACGCTATATGAGGACATACGTTTATGGCTATTAATATAGCCCATAACAAGAATGAGACTAGATAGGCCAAGGAAGGTTAAATGAAGAACATCGTGAGAGCTGCAAGGCCGTATTCTAATTTTATTCCGCGTCCATCGAATTAAAAGGGTCTTTCTGCAGAGGGAAGTAAAGAGTACCTGCAATGATATATCACAAAATCGGCATGCTAACGGGGTTATCATAATCAATATTCGCCTCCACGCTCTCAATACGGGGACTGCACGTTCCAAAGACCCGATCCCACACCCGCGTTTGCTTGCCATAGTTATGGCTCTTCTTCCATCCATGACGATGATGCAAATCATGATCTTCAATCACCAATTCAGCATCAAACATCCGCATCAACCATGTCACAGGGTTGGGCGGCGAAGCATGAAGACGAAGACCGCTATGTCCAGCCAGCTCGGCAAAAATAACATACATCTGACAAACGTGCCATTCGTAGAATCCCATCGGCATACCCATAAATTTCATCGTAAACCATGTGATCAATGGAATACCGGCAATGTCAAAGAATTCCTGCTCCGAGTCCGCGTAAATTGTGAGCAGTGGGTTCGGGTGTTTCGTGAAATGGTGGGTACGGTGGAACCTCCAGAGACCGTTCACATCATGCATGACACGGTGGTACCAATAGAACCAAAAATCAAGAATGATCCCGTAAAGACTAATCTCTATGAGCAGCCAAGCCCAGCTTAATGAAGCTGGTGGTTTATTTGCATCGTAGGTGAGCCATACTGTCATCAGTGGACGCACAATCCCAGCCAACATAACCGAGATCAGAGCCTTTGAAACTCCCACGTCGGGCACACCATCTCGCTCGTGTTTGTCGCCGTCTAGAAACCCGTAGGTATGACCGAGCTCTCGGAGAGTCCGCAACTCGCGTGTCGTGAACAATCTTGAGGCTTGGTAGTAGTAGAAGAAGGCGATGATCGGGTGGAAGTTGTATCTGGTAAAAGAGGTAAAGAGCTGGTGGACCAGAAGTGGAACTCCAGAGGTGATAATAACCCAGCGGTTCAAAGACCAGTCGGATACATATGGTATTTTATCTTCCTTGGGATGGATCGGGATATCTCTGTTGAGCTCGATGTGGTATACGTTGACATGCTCGAAGATTTTGTGTGGTAGTTTCCACTGATCTCGGTCCCATGTACGCCACGTGAATTTCATATTATCCATCGGATTACGAGATGTGGTTAAGTGTAAGTTAGAAGTGTGTGCTTTGTCTTTACTTCGGTCTAACTATATGGGTGCCTATTCCTACATTGGTAGGGAGGGAGGTACCTAGGTGGTTAACGCGCCCAGGTGATTGGATAGTGTTAATAATCTATGTGGGGCCATACGGAGGCCATGCGGAGCCATTTAGAGCCATATGATTGGCTACTCGCAGAGGTTTCCCAAAACCGTTTAGGTGGGGCGATCATCTACATCAGTATGATTCCGGGGCGACGAAGTAGAGTTGACCATAATTCGTAACTATTTGAACGTAATACACCATCTCTTGGGTTCTTATGTTGAAATTGAACTCTATTATTGTATATATTAGCTGTTCTTTATAGCCCAAACCATGCCATGTGATTCTTACCTAGGTATGCCAAGTCACGGCATGGCCTGAGACCTAAATTTATGCTTAATTTAGCTGCGATGCTTTAAAACATGTAAAGATGGAAGTGAGTAACGTCGACTTAGTACTCAGGATACCAGATGAACGGTATTGCATTTATTGCGGGAAATCTAGGAATGAATCATAGACATTGCATCAGAACCTGTTTCCCCGCAGTACATTTTCCCCGAAGTACCTTACATCCATCTTTGACAGCTAGATAACAACCAACAATCAAGCATTACCGCAAGATATAATCCTTTAGTAACTGAAGATCAGCTACCAATTCCAGTTCATCATGTCTCTCGCAATTCTGGACGTGAGAATGCCGTTTGTCAACCCGTAACCCCGCTGACCTCATTTCAGACCACAGAACATCCCAACCTCCCCGCGGTATCCACAACACTCTTCAAAGCCAAGGCAGCTCGCAAACTAAGCTTCGAGAAAATTGGCGAGTACCTCGGTCGCAATGAAGTAGCCGCAGCTGCCATATTCTACGGCCAGGCCAAAGCGTCACCTGAAGATATCGAAAAGCTGGCCGATCTGCTTCTCATCCCCCAGCAGCCGTTGGAGGAACAACTCAACGGCTTCCCCGATCGTGGTCGGTCCGTCGAAATGCCACCCAAGGAACCCCTTATCTACCGACTGTATGAGATTGTGCAGAACTATGGCTATGCTTACAAGGCGGTTCTCAATGAGAAGTTTGGAGATGGGATTATGAGTGCTATCTCGTTTTCGACCAAGGTTGAGAAGGAGACTGATGAAGATGGTAATAACTGGGCTGTTATCACTCTTCGTGGAAAATGGTATGTCTTCCAAGGTCCGCTTTGCCTCCTGAACAATTACTAACGAGTGAATAGGTTGCCTTTCTCTCGATTCTAAGCTTAGTGATGTTACTAGGAGGTAGCAGTCTCATCAGCAAGAAAGAAGAATACCTCCCAGAGTGACCTTGGTTTCACCATCAGCGATAGAAGTGCAGAATGGTAGAGAAAGTAGTCACTGGCATCTGACCAAAACTGGACTTATAAAACGGAAGGAAGCCAAGAAAGAAGAAGCAATGAGAGGAACCATCACCGGACCTTAACAATTATAAGAAAAGAAAAAAGAAAAGGTCCCCATTAATCTAGACCGCTCCTAGACCTCAGGAGGGTATGGACAGAGCCTGGTAAGGTGGAGCAAGCTCCTAACAACACACTAACTAGCAATCGGGTGTCTGGGGCTGAGGAAGCAAACAATAATCCACAACAGTTACAGTAATTCGATGAATCTCCTCTTAATATGGCACATGAACAAAAGGGTGCGCTCGCGGTTTCTCAGGCCACTAGTTAATTCGTCTTCGACAATCAGATCCAGTCCAAGGGCCTGCCAATCCACGTGTGTATTCGACTTCTTCAACTCCTTGACCTCCAAAAGCAGGCTGGAATTGCATCACTTTTGCCAGTAGCCATCCGGTAAAGTCTACTGAAAGGCCTCGAGCAAATTGCGAGTGTTTTGGACCTCGATCGTGGTGTATTTAGCCGGACACACCGTGTCAATTATGCATCAGGATGGCGAGATCCAGTGGAAAATTACCGAATCCTTATCCGATTTCACTGCTCTTCGACCTTGACCACAAACAGGTAGCTATATTCTACGCATGTACCAACCTATATCAGTTTCATCAGATTTTCATAGTAACAGGTAGAAATTTAGTAGATATTATACTGATTTTAGCATCATGATGATAGATTTCATACAAAATTTCATACATAATCACCGATCCAACTTAACCACGAATTCGTACCTAAAAGGATTACTGAGTATTAACATGAAGAGATATATATATTGGGTCTATAAGTAGCATTAATAGTACCTATACTTACTATGTAATTTTCTAACAAAAGCAAGTACCCCTTGTAAACAATACCTAGGTAAAGCTTTATGAAAATTAACTTTGCATCTCCAAACCGTCTTTTGAGTGAATTTATAAGCTTATAAGAAGGATTCCGTATTGAATACCCAAAAGAAACTAGAGAAAAATGTATTAATTATGCAGCTAGAATACATTGCCATACTTGTATTGTTTGGGGCCTATTATGGGACCAAAATTCAGCCCATTTGGGGGGTGGGTTGGGCTATGGGCTTTGTGAGCTATTGAGAGGTCTAGTCACTACTACCTAGGTAGTTAGTACCACGCGATGAATTATTAAGATACGTCTACGCCTCTCTCTATATATATAGCAGAACAGTACTAGGAATTGCTTAGCCTATAATAAGAGTTCTTCCCTTTTCCTATCTATATATATATCTCATTTTCTAGCTCAATTGAGCTTTATACGTCCCGCTATCGCGTATAGCTCTTCTTATACCTAGGTATCTCTTTTCCCCTGCTCTAGCTCTAGCCCTCTATCGAAGGCTAACAATATAGAAGTTAACTCTCTAGATATATATAGCCGAACTCTGCTATTCTACGCTATATAACTTAGTAAAATAGCAACGGCAACTACGCTACTTAAAAGAAATCCCGAGGCAGGTGCAGGGACGACTGGATTGGATTCAACACAATCACTAGAGTATTGGCTCGCTTGCCATGAATAGGAGGCTAGGAGGGGCGGGGGGTGGTCCAGGGTGACAGATGTCTACTCAATATTAAACCATCATGGTTTTTATTTCTCCCATGCTGGCATGCTTTGTCAAAGATAAATCCGTTTGTTTGCTTCAAACACTTTCCCTCTTCATTCGTGATATTCTCTTTCTCTTCATTCCTTTCCTTCCCCAACTTTCTTGATCCCATCCACCCTTTCTTGACGCGCGTCACTTCATCGCCTCGACAGCTCATCGAAGCTCTTCACGATGGCAGAAGAAGTGACGGGGGTACTTTGTACCTTTAAGGGCTGCAGACTTAGTTTCGACTCCGTCAGCGAGATGCAACACCATAAGGCCAATGCGGACAAGCACTCTTACTGCATGAAATGTGACCTCGACTTCCAGTCTCAGCAGACCCTCCATCTGCACAAGATTATGAGCGACCGTCACTTTGCCTGCCCTGAATGCTGTCTTGAGCTCCGCAGCGAGGCTGGTCTGGAAGTTCACATGAGAAACGTGAGTCTCCATCCTCCTTTAAGCCACCGCCTATAGAAACAAGAAACTGTACTGACGAACTATCCATTTATTAGAACCACCATGAAGGTCGCGAAATCGCTTGCATGGGCTGTGGTTGCAAGTACAAGTCCGCTTCTGCCGTCATCAAACATATCGAAGACAAGGAATGCCCTGTCCTTTCCCTGCCAGAAAAGTCCCTCGAGGGGACCAACTATGACCTGCACGGCGCAACAAGCGTTTTGACCATGGGCAGAGACTCTCCTGGAGCGCAGTACCCGCCCTCTGATAGCTCCAGCGAGGACCCGGATACAGATGGTGGCGTTTTACTGGATATCTCTACACCCCGTATGGAAGGAAAGCGCCCTGCTCGCGATACCGACGATGCAATTAATCCTCATGATAACTGGCCCGATCTTGGCGCTCCAGTGACGCCAGGAAAAGGACAAGGAGGAAGTAGCTCCACTGAATCGCCCGGCGGTGTTCTCCTCGATGATATTGTCGGTACCCCAATGCTCGAGGACAATCCTTTCCTGTCTGCTCATGGGGCTACTGAGCAGTTGAGCGAGGCAGGACCTTCTGGGTCTACGCTGACTGTCCAAGGAGCGGGCCCTTCGAACTATGTTAAACCAACTCGTTGCCGAGCCACAGCTCACCGCATGATCCAAGGTGTGGACCCCGAGAGCTTCTGGAACCAGGAGAAATCTCGCTACTACTGCAACTGCGGTTCGTCTTTCTTGTACGTCAGCACGTTCGAGTATCATCTTACGATGGAGGATGAAACAATCAACGAGTAAGTATCTTCCTTTTCGGTTCGTGTATCTTGAAACGGGATTATCGCTAAGAATATTTCTTACAGCTGCCCTCGATGCTTCAAACGATTCAGGACCCTCGCCGCACTCGTCGCGCACATGGAAGCTCGATGGTCTAAGTGTGCTTTCCGCGTGAGCACTGGCCAAATTGAACAGGAACTCAGTGAGGTTACTCGTGGCTTTGCCGATATTCCGCAGACGATTGGTGATGGAATGGAACCAGGGGAGATCGCTTTCGATGTGAGTAGCCAGCCTGAGCACAATACTCCCGGTTCTTCGGATGCAGGCACTCCACCCATGAGAGCAGGTGGTGTCTTTTCGAACCCCGAGGCCGTCTCTTCAAATGGAGATGACGTCTATTCCAACGCAGATGATGTCTCTTCGAATGTAGAGGCTGTATCTTCCAATGCCGGGCCTGTGTCTTCCAATGGAGGAGCCGTGTCTTCTTATGCAGGGGCCCCTTCCTCAAATATGGACTCGCTAGTGGATGATCTGGAGGGACTTGTCTTTTCCGATACGCACGACGAAGACGATACGCACGACGAAGATGACACGCACGACGAAGATAATACGCACGACGAAGACGACGAGGAAGAACTTTGAGGGCGAGGGTTGAGATTGGGATCAGAAGGCTAGTTCCTGAGGATTAACTTCGAGAATAGTACCTGGGGGGTGAGCTTGGAGGGTGGGCTTCAAGATTATCTACCACGGTTCTATGGATATTAATTCAGATCAAGGCAGAATGGTGGGGAATCTTCCCACTCTCACGTAGTTCCATAGCACAAATGGCCTTTATCAATATCCATTGTCCAGAATAGAGCCAGTATTCCTATTCCCAGTAAACCGTACAGGCTCTAAAACGCAATTATAATAATTCACAATGGATCAAAAACGAGACTGGATTTCAATTTGCTCCGCTAGGAAAGCAAAGTGGGTATGTGAGAGCTGTGTCGGGACTCAATTTTCACGCAAAGGCTGCGGCGAACGCTAAAGGTACATATTAAAGAATAGAAAATAGAGCAAGAATGCCCCTTGAGCCCGGTAATCCCCACCTCCCGATATCCCCCATCCCAATCCACAAAGAGGTGAATGACTGGACGAGACAAACACGCAAGCCTGTCAAACGTAGAGCAAGGTGTCGAGGATATCGAAAGGATCAAGCGGACGGCGTGATCGAACGACTGCGCAACTAGCAGAAAGTCTCGCAGCACTCACAGCACTCGAAGCAGAGAATACCAGCGCAACTAGATTAATGTCAGTCTCGTTTGGTGATATGTGATTCAGAGGTGTTTGACTTACATGCCGCAGCAGATATCGCCGGCACCGCCACCACGCAGCTTCAGCATGTTCTCCTGGGAGTTCTGAGAGGATATTAGTTGGGTCTGTGAAGGATATTTGGGTAATTGGGTGTTGTGTGGCGTACAGGCTGCTCGGTCACCATGCGGTCGGTTGAGGGTGTCTTTGGGCTGGTAGGCTGGTGGTTCTCGATGCTGGTAGCATCTGAGGTGGTGTTGACAGTGGACTCCTTGGAGAACCAGGAGAGGAAACCGTTGGCAAACATCTTGATTGTTGATTGTTGATTATAGATACAGTCAAATGAGGGAAGTGGGAAGTGGTGAGGTAGGAAAGTCGTGGGAGGAAGTAAGTAAGCCCTGGAGGTTATAACTAGTGTTGGATTTGGTAAGACGCACATCTTTTTTTTTGTATAACCTCGACCTGAACAGTTTACCCTGCCAATTATATATGGAGCTGAGTGATGATCCCTGTTTCTATTTGTACTATATAACATATTCGATATTTAAGGGTCCTATGGGACTTCAGGTATCTTTAGATGTGGCTATGGATATACTCCAGTATAGATCTTGGTGAATCCCAGCGTGTACATCTATATAATATTGTGTTTTTCTCTTCTCTTGTAACTAGAAGAGAGTAACTCCATGTACCTAACATAATAGAATTATATTCATCATACAAATCTGTGCGAAATAGAGATCTAAGAAAAAGAAAAAGAAACCAAATAACGAAGATCGACCCTGCCAAGTATCCGCCAAGCCCAACCTTCCATAAATTTTCCTTCATAACAACAACCTCATATCATCGCCAACATCAAAATGGCAACCCCTTCAACCCCAGACCTAAACGCAACCCGCGAAGCAGACTACAAACGCTTCAAAAACTACGCCGCCTACACATTCCTAATCGGCGCCCCAATCCTAATCGCCCTCCCACCACGCAAACTCGACCCACTCACCGTCCTTGTCCTCTGCTCCTTCGGCGCATCCGCAAACCACATCGTGCGCGACCGCACAGGCCGCAGCATAATCGACCGGATCGACGCCCGGATCTCAAGCGCGCAAAGGTCATTCTCATCTCTGCCTAGCGAGCGCGCACAGGAGATCCAAGAACGACTCCGGGCGGCACGCGATGCACAGCTCCGCCATGCTGAGCATGAGCAGTTGAAGGCGCAGATTTTGTCGCTTTCGGATAAGCAGCGCAGAGCTCCCGATCCGGTTTTGAAGGAGGAGATTGAGAAGCTTAAGGCGAGACAGGCGCAGGAGGAGAGCGTTGTGCAGCGGGTTTGGATGGGTGGGGAGTCTGAGGGGTGGAAGGAGAGGAGGTTGAGAGAAGAGCAGAAGGCGCTTAGTGAGGGCAAGGGATATGGTGATTTGATTCAGGAGCATATTTGGGATGTTTGGACTTGGGGTGGGAAGGGTGGAAAGGATGAGAAGGCTGGGGAGGGGGTTAAGGATGAGACGGAGGAGAAGTGAGTTATCGATGCTTGTGCTGTCTGTCTGTTTTGTGTGTCTTGTATAGCGTCTCTGTCTCTCTCTCCCCCTTGATGTATTATATTTTACTCTGCTTGCATTGGGATTAGGTGTTTGGTTGTATTTTTGAATTCCACCTGCCAGGAATTCATCAGGTTGTTCGTGTTAGAAAGGCTATTATTACTATGTCTGTGTACAATACATCCATTCGAACAAGTTCTAAATACCTGAAGGTTTTAAGAGTATATTACCAAAACTTATAGTGGCCATCAAAACCCCCTTTATAGATGATTTGGTGCCTAAATGCCTGACTTTAGAACAGCAGAAATGTTAAAATACCTCCAGGGCTGAATTTCTATTACAGATGCCTTAGTAATCATACAGTGACTCCGCGAAAGTGCTAACACCCTTCTGCTACCGCCTTCTCAATTATCATACCGCCCTTTACCCCTTACTTTCTATTGGTGGATATCTAGCTGGCAGAACCTGGGGCCTTCCCTGTGGTTTGTATTGTTGACACTTATAACCCGCCATAAAACATAGAGATACTACCTAACTAGGTACTATTTGTGTGTAGATAAAAAGCTTCATTTTTGACACTTGAAAACCCATCTACAATACGTATAGAGATACTACTGTTTATACGTAGGTGAAAGCTCTATTTTTGACACTTTTAAAACCGTCAAAAATACGCATAGAGATACTGCAATTTGTGTGTAGATGAAAAGCTTCATTTTTGACCGTTATAGTATCAATAAATTTACCATACACTATATAGAGCGGTGTAAAAAGCGGTGCCAAATAAGGCACTCAGGCATCAACTCTCACCTACAAAAGGGGGTTTGAACCCTGGCCACTATAACTAAGTCTTGGTAGAGTACATTGTCTATTTACAGCCAGTCTACGGTGTCTACGAGGTTACAAAAATCAAAATCCAAGTGTAGAATAATATATCTTTATTCTCAAAACAAAGAGACTCTCCACGACCATGGCATCGCGAGAGCTCCTTGATACATACAAATCTCTCCAAGTATATCCATCTGGAAGGCTATGAGACCTCAACGACCATGGCATCGCGAGGGACTCACAACCAAACCAAATCCAGTACATGAAAAATATCTCATCTCCAATATCAATCCCATCTGGAAGGCTATGAGACCTCAACGATCATGGCATCGCGAGGGACTCACAACCAAACCAAATCCAGTACATGGAAAGTATCTCATATCCAATATCAATCCCAAGTATATCACTCCGAGAAATAGATAAAACACAAATCCAAGTTGTCCGGACACGCCAAAAGCAGATGGTATCAAATGGCATGACCTCCCATTCGGGCCGTGGGATGAAGAGGAGTGGATGACTTTTCTTTTTGATGATGATGATGATGTGTTCATCCTAACGGGGCCATGGGAAAACCCGGCAAACTCCAATTGGGTGCTCGGTAAAAACCATGACCAGGCCTGCAGTTCTAAATACAGGTTCCTTTGTTGTAAGCTCAGTTGGGAACATAGCTGGGGTCTAGGTCCGCAGCTAGTCTGAGCATGGTATCGGCCTTTAATATTGTTAGAGAAAGTAGTTACATTCAGCGTTTCCTTGCAGCTTTGAAGAAGCGATGATCTTAGGATGGACAGCTGGAGGGTGGAAAGTTGGGGGACGGAAAGTAGGGTGAGTGGAAGCAAGAGGATCCATAGCAGGTACTGGGAAAGCAAGGGGATTGAATTGGAAATAGGAAACTGGGGGACTCACAATTTGCTTAACAGCCAGAGCACCCATTGTAAAGGCCTCAATCCTCTGCAGAGAAGTTAGTGCATGTTGCAACCCACTGGCTGCTTCCCAAAGATCACTCACCGGATCCGGAAGAGGCGGTGCGTCCGGCATCTCGATGTCGTTCTATATTCAATGTTAGCAACTGATCTTTTAGAAAATGGATGTGGAGGTATCAACTTACTGGCTCATCTGCCGGTGTCTCATTGCCCTGGTAGGATCTGGGCTCACTCGGCACAAATGGTGTGTTGCCGTTGTGATTGTTGTTTGCACGGTAGTTTCGAGCACCTCCATTGCCCCGGTAGGATCTGGGCACAAAAGATGCGTTGCCGTTGTGATTGTTGTTTTCACGGTAGTTTCGAGCACCTCCATTGCCCTTGTAAGATCTGGACTCATTGGGCACATAATATGCGTTGCCGTTGTGGTTGTTGTTTGCATGGTTGTTTCGAGCACCTCCATTGCCCTGGTAGGATCTGGGCTCATTGGGCACATAAGATGCGTTGCCGTTGTGGTTGTTGTTTGCACGGTCGTTTCGAGTACCTCCATTGCCCTGGTAGGATCTGGGCTCATTGGGCACAAAGTTGCCGTTGTGATTGTTGTTTGCACGGTTGTTTCGAGCACCTCCATTGCCCTGGTAGGATCTGGGCTCACTGGGCACAAATGGTGCGTTGCCGTTGTGATTGTTGTTTCCACGGTAGTTTCGAGCACCTCCATTGCCCTTGTAGGATCTGGGCCCATAGGGCGCGGAAGATTGGCGGGTGAAATTCATCTTCTCGGGGTTCCGTTTACCAAAGCTATGATGGGCGTTTGGACTACCGCAGCCTGTCTCCTTAGAGAAGCTTCGTGCAGGGGGGCCATTCGATTGAACTTCCAAAGGCCGGATTTCAACTTCGAAGAGCCCAAGCGGATGCTCTGTTTTTGGCTTGTTTTTTTCCCTTGGCTGGGCTTGTTTCTTCTCAACCCTTAAGAATCTTTTTTTTTTTTTTTTGGATTTTCTTTTTGGGAGGAAGGTGGTGCCTTCAGCTGGGATACTTCACCTCAAGAGGCCGGGGGCTCTCGAAGTCCGACAATTAAAGACAACTCCCTGGCCCTGGCAGCTTGCGACAAAGTTGGCTGGGTGATTTGATTAGAATATGAAGAAGGAAAATATGAAGAAGGAAAGAAAAAGGAGGAGTCAAAGGTGAGGAGACGGGGGGTTATATAGATTTGGATGAGGTGAAGGAGGAAAGAAAATAGAGGAGTCGAAGGTGAGCAGAGGGGGGTTTATAACACCAAGCTGCGCTACTAACTAAACCAATCTAGGAAATATGCTAGCTTCGTCAACGGAGAGAATATATTGAGTTCCTTGGATTCGTAAAATCTAATGTCTAAATAAGGGCAAGTTGATATTTCATCGTACTGGGTCCCATGACATTGGGGGGCAAGACCGTTATATGTCGTTATATGTCGAGCCTGAAGGGGAGTCGGACTGAGAAATAAAAGCAAACAATGGGCCATTGTTAGCGCCATAAAGCGGACAAACAAAGGAATTCAACTTTGATTTTGACAGGTCATTGGTCATTTTTCATCAGAGGTCCGGAGCTCAAGATGGTATCGGCCTGTTGTCGGGCTTGGTGCGGTACATGGACATAGAAGCAACTATAGTTGAGTGTCAGTACCATGCTTCGTCCGTGGAACACAAGGCAAACTAAAAGCTTCCAAGTGTCTTGTGATTTTTGCTAGGCTCAAGTCATTCCGTTACCCAAAGAATAGCGGAAGAATAGTTGAGTCGGAGCACTTCAATCGAGGTGCTGACAGCATTCTGTCGAGGCATCACGAGCACACGCCGAGTCAAATACAAAGACAGACAGACTGTTATGTCGACGGAACAATAAACTTAAAACTCCTTTTCCGTCTTTGTTGAGTATTACAGATAATGGCTTTCTTCCGACGTACAAGGTGTTTGATATATACTTTGTCAACCACTATGCCTAATGTGGAACATAATGTCATCGTGGCCATACATCTCGAGGATAGAATACTTATGTCGCTATAAGACAATCCTGAAAATATAGTAGGAGAACTGGCCAACCAAGTTGTAATATAATTCCTACGTCGAACTGGCTACACGTCTTAGATAGGCTGTGATCTTATATCTATTTAGAACTTGTCTCTACTGCTTGATCATGTCTTTTGTTCTTGTACATAAGGTTGGAAGAAGTATGACCGAGCCAATGGGGGCGCAGAACTCCATGCAGAACTCTATGAGCTAAACCTTACTCAGTAACAAGCTATACCCGATTTGGAATCGGCCTTATGCCTCCTGTATAGCTGCTCTCTGGAGAGTTAGCAACTTAGAATATCTTTTTGTGTTGGAATATCCCCGAAGCCGTTTATTCTGACGGACCAAAAATCCCTTATGTTGGCATGTGACATTCTATTTGCCCTTGCTCTCATTTTTCTCGACGATTTACTTACATCAACCCCATACCTTCAAGGACCTTTCTGACAAACGTCAGGACTACATATATGGCCGTAACTTCTTGTTTCTACCCAGGCAGCGATCAGAAGAACAGAAAATAGGAACTATAACCGAGTGTTGGGATATCTAAGAATAGTTTCAGTAAAAACTGTCCACAGTACCACTCACTGCAAACACCATTGCCTCTTTCTTGAACTTTTAGAATCCCCCAGCACACAGAAAAACGAAACCGAGTAATGGTCCAGCATCACTTATGGTCTCCTTAAATCATTCCTTCTTTAAGGCAATCAGCGTTGTTTCTTTTTTGGGGCGTCCGCGTCATTATCCATCAATTCACCATGTCTCTTATACTCATTCCCCAGCCTAAGGCGTTTCTTCCGAGGCTTGGATGCAATGGGCGATTCACCTTCATTCGATACGAGACTGTCGCGCTTGCGTTTATCCGCTTTGGGGTTTTCTTTCTTCAAACGTTGTTCCTCCTTTATTTTCAGCCGTCGCTGGACTTCGGCGGAAATATCCTCTGTTTCAAGCGTTGATGCGAACTCCGCATCTTGCTCAGGTGTTGGCTGGGAGGAGGAAGAATCACGGGATCGTTTGGGTGCTCGGATTTCGTCCGCACACTCAGGACGGGCTGTGTCGTTGTCTCGAGAGATTCTGCGTCTTTTCTTGCGGGTATTGGCCTCTGTGTCGGTCGATTGTGTGGGGTTGGAGGAGCTGGGTGTAGCGTTTTCTAAGGCTGTCATGTCAATTCCGGTCTCCGTTGCTTGGTAAAGGGTGGGATAGGTTGATTTCTTTCTTCCTTCCGGGGTAGGAGTTTGGTGGGACTTACTGCTCATCTAAATAAGCGACAGTCAGTTATATGATCAATGAAAAGGAAGTTGAGCGGACTACTCACCATATGTTTCCTAGCTATCTTCAGCTGGTTCATCGCCAGTACTGTTTTGTTCACCATTGAGGAGACGGTCTGGAACCCATTGACCTTCGGGGCAATCTGCTCCTTCACCATGCTTAGCATTTCGAGATGGGAGCAGAGAACGGCTTCATGACGGGAGAAGATCTGGTTGCAAAGAAAAAGCCAGTTAGTTACAGCTCGCTAGAAAATGTCCGTCTTTTCGGTTCGCGCCTTAGGTAACAAAAGCATACCTCCGACCAAGGGACTGGCGTGTCATTTGCATTTGCATTGGAGTTGGAATTTTGATTGGCAGGAACATCATCGATGACTTCATCCTCCACCGTAGGATTCATGGCGGGCTTGAATTTGGGAGTCATGTTGAAATTGAAGATCGGCAGTTACTCCGCGCCAAGACTTCGGCTTCGCAAATGACGCGCTTCCGGGAAACTACACAGAAAGTAGGAGGAAGTACAGAAGAAAAGAGATATTTACTCGGATGTTTAGTTAGGAAATAAACTATTCAATCTGAGTATTCCAGTCCGAATGTCTATTGTCTCTATTGTCTCTATTGTTTGTTTTCTGTCTATTGTGCAGTGTTCTATTGTCCATCGTACTTGCATTCAGGTCTACATAACTATCTATGTCTTCACCAGATCTCGTTAGGAACTCCAATAATTGGTGCAATGAACTGAAGTAGCACGACAAAGACCTTGGAAAAGATGCAAAAAGAAGCGAACCGCTTCTTGTTATTATTTCAATCTCATTGTACATAATTTCAAGCTGCAACGCCATTCATCCATGCTCAAGACCTAACCATACCACCCAAAAAAAAGGCTAGCTATTCAAGAAAATTAAGTCATACAGTGGAGAACACTCTCTCCTTACCAAGCACCAGCGTCAAAGTCGAATCGGGACAGGTCTTTCTGTGAATCTTCCACATCTTTCTTCGCTTTCATGCGCATGTAGAAAATCGGACAGTCACGGGATGAGCAGATGACCTCACAGTGAAGACTGCCTTGGCATCGTTGGCACTGAGTCCACAGGCGCCCGAATCGAACCTCTAGATCAGAGACCTTGGTGAGAGTCTTTGTGTAAAGTTCACCAAGGCGAGGGCGGCAGTTCGAGCAGACTGCACCCTCCATCTCGTCCTTGCTGGAAAGAGGCTTCTTGCAGCCCATACAAGTCTGTGTTTTCTTGGCGAACTTCATCAGTCCGCCCAGGCTCGAGGCCGCTTTGGTGATAGACCGTGTGTGCTCACCAGTGAGCAACTGGCCTGCCTTCTTCTCACCCAAGATGGGTTCGAAGATACGGTTGAGTGGGTTTGTAAGCTGGTTGTCGAGGTAGTACTTAGTGTCGATGGGAATGTTGTTTTCCAGAACGAAGATGGGATCTTCTGCTCGTTCATAGCCTTTGGAATCACTAGAACCCTTGATCATGACGTAGGCCACACGATCACCGAGTGTTGGCGCGGAACCTGCGTCACGCTTGTGCATGCGCTCCGCAAGTTCGACGTGTGCCTGCTTGCCTGCGTAGTCTTCTTTGCGCTTCGACAATGCTTTTGTGATGACTAGTTTCGACATATCGATCTTATTTTGGAGCAGGTCCGAAATGGTGGCTTTGACGTAGCTAGATATTATGTTAGTTTCTTCAAAGCTGGGTTGAGGGATATCTCAACTCACTCTTGTGCACCATCAAGATCCCGGTCAATCAAAATCTTGTTCAGCACGGTTTCAATGACATTTTGAACCATGAGGCAGTTATCACGTCGGACGGTCTCAATACCCTTTGTGTCCATCTTGTCATGTTTGTTGGGGTTCGTCCAGTACAGTCCAGCGTATCGCTTCTTGTTGATCAAAAGATAAGGGAAGTATACTTTCTCGAATTCAAGTTTGATGGGCGTAATGAACTTGGAAGAAACAAAGTCTGCTGCTTCTTGGCCAAGCTTCATCGCATCTGCCAGTTCAGTGACGCCGAATTTGACCATGACGGAATCAGTGTCACCGTAGATGACTTCGGCATCATGAGAGTAACCGTTCGCGATGGTGTAGCGTGCTTCTACCTCTTGCTTTGTCTTCTCAATCATCTGACGACCGTAACTCGTCGTACTACTGGCAATGGGAAGACAAGGCAGTTTACCCACTGTGGCACCAGTCAGACCGTAGACACTGTTTGCGCTGACCTTCAAAGCGAGTTGACGACCGTTCAGCACAGCCTTCTTGAAAGAATCGGTCTCGGTAGCCAACTCCTTCTTCGCGCGCTTTCTTGCTGACAACAGCTCTTCAAGAATTTGGGACAAAAGGCCTTTGCGAACTTTGGTTGTGCAAAACATGTCTCCATTTGGAGTCACGATGTAATCGTCATCCTTCTTCAGGTTCAATTTCTCAACGCTGGTCTTGTTGAGCAAGGTGGTGTAGCAGAGGTTGTGTGCTTGAATGATTGAAGGGTATAGTGATGCGAAATCGAGGGTTGCAACGGGCACTCCATAGTATCCTCGCTTCGGCTCGATAACAGTCGCACCTTCGTAATCCTGCTCGTCCTGGGGCTTGGAATTGGGAATAACGAGTTGCTGCTCTCGGGCTTTCCGGAACAGTTGACTGATGAACTTGACTTGCTGTCCTCGAGACAAGAGGAAATTGAACGGTACACCCGTGACTCTTGCCATCTCTGTATAGTTGACAAGGCACATCAATTTGTCCATTAATCGCTGTGGCAGATATGCATCTTTCAAACAGTATACTGCAAGTCGTCGTCTTGAATCCGGGGTACCGTTGAACAGCTCAGTAATCATGGTGTGGTGAACGTCTTCCTTTTGCTCCTTCAAAAACTCGTAGGACACGGAATTAAGGGTGTAACTTCTCAACTGGTGATCTCTCTGGACCAATTGAAGAAGATCAAGTTGGATTCTGCCGTTTGTATTCGTCGCTTTCGTGTCTCGGTTGCCCATTTGTTTGCTCGAAAAATTTGCATCCTTGGCCTCGGTCTTGAAACCTTTCAATCTGGTCCAATAGGGGAACCCTGTGCATTTCAAGTGCTTGGCACGATCGAGTAGGTATGGGAAATCGAAGTTGGCAATGTTGTATCCGATAATAACGTCAGGGTCCACCTTTTCCACAAAGTCACGCCAGGCGTCAAGCATCTTCTCTTCCTTTTCAAATTCCAGGATTTGGGTATTGACGATCAAACTGCATGTATCGAGGACAAAGACGTTTCTGATGAATGGCTTCGTCTCTCCGTATCGAGTAACGACATTGGCGATTTGGATGACGGGGTCCATGTTGGGCTCCGGGAAGATACCTTTCCGTCCGGCACATTCAATATCAAAGGAGAGGACGCGAAGAGGTGCCATTTTAGCCCATTCCCCGTTCGGTGGGTGAGCTACCATGTACTGATAGTCGACACAAGCTTCGATTTGGCAGTTGGACAATCGTTGACTCTGTCCAAGAAGACGATATTTCCCAGCTATTGCCTCGACCCAAGCCATTCCAGCCAGCCCGGTATCAATCATAAAACGCAAAAGGTATTGAATATTGTCAAATGTGAGGATTCCATCTGCGCCACTCCACATACCCTTGTAGTTCATGCTTCCACTGCCAGTCTCTAACGCACTTCGCAGTCGGGCGGCCAACTTTGGCTCAGTAACCGTAATCTTAATATAATAACTCTTTTGGTTTCCTTGAAATCCGTAGATGTTCTCGCGCATTGTAAGTTGCACAGACGAGATTGCAGTGAAGCTCTGGCCTAGCTTTTGCTCTAGGAAATGTCTGTAAGGGTCGCAATCCGCTTTGGTGAAGCTGACAGGAGCGGCAATGTAGAGGTAATGTTCGAAGCCAGTGACGTGAAGGCAAACCGATTGTCCAGTCTATTAATGTGGTTAGATACGAAAACCTAGGGAATGGCAAGCACATTTACCTCGGTGACACCGAAAAGCCGAATAGCAGGCTTTCCCATCAGCATTGCTTCTTCCGCGTCAATCTGTTGGAAACAGATGTTTTCCTTGGCTTCATCGAAGTCACCAAGCGGGGGGGCGCTCCCATTGCTGGTCCTTCTCTGAGTTGTTCTCTTTCAAGTCGCCGATGTCCTGCGTCAACTTTTCAAGTACCTCCTCCTCGAATTGACTTTTCTGCGGTTGGGTCGAGCCAATATTTCGCCGAGCAATCTGCGAGGATGGTGTGAACTTCACAGACGGCTCATTATCGAGTTTCCGCTTTTTGAGGGTGCTGGCAGATTTCAAGATACCGTTGGAATTATCGGCCGCGTCGCCTAGCACCCGCTTCTGGGGAGGGATGATAGCTTCAGGCATGACGACAACTCCTACACTGAGGTTCACGGGGTCACAATCAGGCTGATGGTGGAAACGATGTGGGAAGAAAATGGGCTCGTGAACTTGAGGATGTGTTGAGCGGGCAACTCCTTGTGCAAGTCGCGCTGTCGCGCCTTCGACGTGACGTTTACGCGTGAGGGGGTCACGTGTGATAAGATAAGCTAAATTGAAACACAAATATTTGCTGTGATTTGATTGGTCAAAAGGTCGAGGTGTACCTAACAGACTGTGTAGCTCTAACTATACATACTTTTGTTTTTTTGTTCTTTTCTTAGCTTCTCATGTGAGATAGGAGAGATACAATTTTCTGTAGAATAAGAGTATACCATTAATAGCTACATCGAGTACATAGGTAACTACCTAGGTATGGCCTTTCATCATATTTCCACCCTTAGAAGGCGCCAAGTCCACGGGCTCGGAAACGGACGACTCGCCTCCCTGGCCTTGGCATCGAATGACTCGATCTGAAAGGCCAAGTGTTTGTCTCTTTCTTGAGTGTTTCTATTTACGGATTTCCCTGAATGTACAATCTCAGACTCTATTCAAGTCACCTTCGATATTCCGCCAAGAGCCGCATTCCCCACGCCCTACTAGAGGCATTCTAGTAGAACCCGATGGAAGCTTGACACAATCCCCCACTAGGCTTCTGTGCTATGTTTATATCCTTTTGATGTCAATCCCAACGTGGCATCTCTGTCCAAGGGATATCTGACACGTCTTCCTTTCTGTGTTCTTTCAGTTTTACGTCATTGCCCTTGATCAAAGAGCTCCCTCTTTTCTTTTTTCCTGCGGGGCAACAATCAGCCCAAGTTTCCAAAAGGCAGCACGGTTTATACCAACTTATGTGCCTGTTTCTCTCTTCCTTCCTCTTCTTCTATTCTTGAATTTTTCTGTGTACTTCGTCCCTCATCGCCAATGGTGTCGGCACAGCGCTAATTCAAGTCTTCATTGCGTCTGCTATTTGAATGAAAAGTATATCAATATGTCGATGTTCCGATCTGCAGCAGAAATACCATCGGACTCGGATTCCGACTCGAGTTCAGAAGCAAGCCAAAT